GTCCCCAACAAGCACGATCAAGCTCTAAGGCTGGAACCGACCTGCACCTAAAAAAATAATAGAAGAGTGGGTCAGGCCCACGAACAAGTTCTAATCTAACTGCGATCCAAACGGTGACCCGATACGCAGATATACCCTAGATATCTCAACAATATCTAATTAGTCCATACATATATATATCCACACTAAAGGACATTCACTAGACTATAATAGGGGTCTCAACCTGAATAGAAGGTAACATGCGAAAACGCACCCAAGGGTGGGCATGAGTACCTAGACCTAACAGGGTACACTTCAACCTACTATAGTCAGCTACGCATCCATTGCATATACGTACCCTAACCAACGAGTATGAATCTCAAGCTCATCTCGTGGTACCATACACATATATCTAAATTCTGTCCCAAAACCAGGTATACCATTCAATTACTTATTGAACGGACACACTTTATACAAACTAGTTAGTCACTCAACTTATTTGTAGTTGATATGACCCACCACAATCCACTAATTCAGGAAGTCACCCAACTTAGTTGCAGTTGATCTGACTTAGTCACAAATAGGATTCAATATCTTTTAATCCATTCCTTTAGTCCATTAGGTTAGGTTTATGCGTTTTGAGCTAAACTATCCCTAGTATGTCACCGTCCCATACCGGTACATACAATCCTCCACATCCGTGTAAATTACAACATATATACCAGTTTAGTAATTTACAGTCCAAGACTATTTCCCAAAGAATTGCAGAAAAATAATTAATATTTCAACAACTAAAACCAAGCATTAATCCATTTAAAGTTTAATATTCCAACAACCACCTCCAAAACCATAATCCAATTCCAAACCAAAAATTCAGTTAATTGCTTAACAGTGTGTAATATTATAGCAATTAAATCATGTACCATTCCGTTCAAAACCATGCAACTATAGATTTATAACAGAGTAGTTTGGCAACCAAAATCTGAAACATGCCTAGGATCAAGTCTGTTCACTAGAAGACCCTAATGTCCATTTAAACCAGTTTTAAATTTATGCTACACTTTCCATCCATTATTCACATTCAAAAAGGTTTAAATTCGTATTATGTATTCAACTTGTCTACCTGTATAAACCATGCACTGAGAACCCTTAAGAACACCCAAGTGACATGTTAAACTCCTCCATTTACTTCCAACTCAGTCCCAGACTCACAACCCTCCAACAGTAGCAAGTAATTCGTAATAAAAAAAAAAAAAAATCAAAAATCAAATTCCAAGAGAGCCTGCTCAATTTTTGGAAAGAGCAGGCTCTTTTAGAGCCTTGAGCCGGCTCCTTTGCCCCATGGAGCCGGCTCTTTACCTAGAAAAGAGGAGAGAGCCGGCTCCTTCCATCCATGGAGCCTTCTCCTTTGCCTCTTTTGTATTACCAACGCTAGTTCACTCTCTGCTTGAATTTTGCTTCATTATGTCCGTGTATTCTTTCCCCGATTAATTTTTAGCCATCTGTTGGTTACTTACAGTGATCTTAGAGGTTCAATACTATCCTAATATCATCTCCCAAGCTTGATTACAGCAATTTAAATCAATTAAAAGAAGTAAACTTGCTACGGAACTAAACATGTTTCTATGTAAAAACTGAAACCTCATGCATGGATTACAACGAAGCAAAATGCAACAGAGATCTAAAACAGAAATAGCAACCTTCCTATGAGATTTACATAATTCCGGTAGTCTTTCCATACTTAGTTTACAGTAGTTGCAATCAAAAACAGAGACAAAAACTACGACAAAAACCCTCATGCTTAAAGGACATAAAACTGAACCAACTTGCATGCACTGTAACAGATATTGCAGAAATCATCACAGAAATAATTCAAAGCATACATATGATTAATTTGATGTATAACATACATGAATGATTTAGTTGTTAATTTCCTTAAAACTTTAGAGCATATCTAGGTGCACAGAACACGGCTCAAAGGGAAAGAGGAAGATAGAACTTGCCTGAATAGGTTTGCAAACAAACCCTTGTTGCCGTTGGTCTCAGTTTTTTCGACATCCACTGAAACTTGTCTAACCTCCTAGAACCTCTGCTCCTTCCTTCTCCTTGGTTAAACCTTGGAACCCCAGTCGAAATTCTCACAAACTGCTCTGTTCTCACCAAAACTCCCTCTGTAACTCTCTCTATTTGGCAGACTTTTCCGTGTAAAAGCTACGACAATATGTAACCCTAGGTTTAACATATACTGAGGTATTTATAATTGCAAGATTAAAACCCTAATCCACAGAGCCCTAACTTCATCGGCCCACAAAGTAACCCAGTTTAGATACATATCAGATGCTTATGAGACGGCTCCAAAAACCCGAACTAAAACGTATCTAAAACCCTAGTTAATGGGAATTACATAATTACCCTGTTCAAAAATTAAATACTTAATAAATAATTAATTTAATAAAACCCATTAATTAAATCAAATAAGCAAGCAACGAATCACTTAAAACACATAAAATAAATAATCAAGCAACGAATCAATTACGACACATAAAACGCAAATAAAGAAACGACACATAAAACGCAAATAAAGAATAAACTGCAATTAAAGAATAATTTAAACAATAAATCAACTAATGCACATAAAAAAAAATAAAATCTGATTTAAACAATAAATTAAATACCAGGACTATCCTTTTGAAATTAGGGGTATTACAGTTTCAAAGCTTTTGCGGACCTGATTAGAGTTTTATATATAGATATAATGAAATTTTCTTTTGGCTTTCATCTAATCTTATCAGAGTATGAATAATTTAGATATTCATTGAGTTTCATGAAGTGAGTCTTTTATGAATGCACTTAAATAACAATTGTTGAAATATTATCATTCAAACTCAAGTGCGTACTTTAAAATCATATGATTAACAAGGCTCTTTCATTCCATTTGGTAATAAACATGATAAAAATAAGTTTGGATAGACAATTTTTGTGATGCGTGAAGTGAAAATTTTTTTTCTTCATGAAATTTAGCTTCATGGCTTCATAAGATCTAGTTGAACTGGATTGAGGCGTAGCTTGAATGACCACTTTGACTCTCGGTTGGATAGTCTTTTTGAAGTGGGAGATTACTAATTGCATTAAATTGAACAGTAGTGATACTGAGGTTCCAAAATAGTACTCTAGTTTAATTGTTGCCTATTTTGTCATTTCAAAAAGGCCCTTGTTATGTGATAAGTATCGAATATTGCACATTCAAATTCTTTTTGTGTTTATGATCACTATAAGAAAATTGACTTTTTACCACGGTGGAAAACACTTTCTACCACAGTTTTGAACTGTGGTAGTAATAGCCGTGGTAGTAAGTCCTTTTTTTACCACGGTGCGGAACCAAAATAAGACAAAAATTCTTATATCTTCTTGCTCTATTTTAGTCTCTCTCTTCCATTACATATATGCAACTTCTTCATGAGCCATACAAAAAAATATAACGGCAACAAAAAAAGTAACAGCAACCGCAATCCTAGCTTTGACCTAAAAATATGTAATAGTTAAAGTCAGAGAATATAAAGCAAGTTGTAAAGTTGTCAAAATTAAACCAAGCAAAGCAAGCATTATAATAAAGGTACATTGAAAGATCTACTCTTCGTATTAACTCAATATCTTGGGTCATTGACATCCCGTCATAAAAAAAAATCATTTGAGTAGCAATATGCAACAAAACTAATTTGAGAAAAACAAAAGTAGGTATGAAATAATAATATTTGTAAAGTATAAAATGTTGGAATGGAATTGTGTAAGATTAGGACAAAATGAACTGAAATCCTAGGTTTACAATAGTTCCAAAAGTATGCATACTTTGTTCCTTTCAAACACACCAGAACTGTTGAGCCTGAAAACTCTTATGCTGAGACAACCTCCTCCAATAACAAAAAGATCAATGTGAGATAAATCAAATTATTGCCATTGAAGGGTTTTCATCAAATTTTCTATAATTTATCATTTCAAAAAATTAAACTTGGAAGGAAATGTAGAAGAAGGGCATCTTAGGATCTTGACAAAGAAATTAAAAGGGTGGTGATTGATAATAATAGCTCTCCGTTTTTGTGGACATTATGAGAATTGTTGAGAATTCTAATTGACCCTTGGTTTTTATTATCAACCCCCCTCTCAACTCATTGGCAGATGAAATCTCTATATAGACATCGAAATATATAGCAATCTTTTATGTAGCATAGAACTCTCGAGTTGGGAAACAAATATGATTACTTGTAAATTTGGAATAATGTCATTGTTATAGCCTTCATTTTCACCAGTTTTAGTAAATTTCATTAACCTCCAATTTCAGTTGCTCAAAATAAATTCATCATATTCTTCTAATAATTCCCTCAGAGTTCTGCTACAACCTAGAAAATACTCATATCTTGTATGTTCGTTTGTACAAAAGATAATTAAATAGAATGAGGTGGTTAATTTGATTTCTCACTTTTTAACAAAATGGCAATGGATAAGCTAATCATTCCCATCTAAATTCTAAATAGAGAGGTGGAGCCTTGAAATTTCTTTTTTACAGAGAGTGTAGTGGGTGGGTGGGTGGGTGGGAGGGAAGGAGGGAGGGAGTTTGCTGCTTTGAAACAGAGAGGTGGAGCCCTAAAATTTTTATTTTATAGAGAGTGTAGTCCATGCAGGTCCTTAATGACATGCAAGAAGTCAGGTTAATCTGCTTTGAAACAGACAGTTGGGACCCTATAATCTCTCTTTTGATAACTTGTCCTAATGAAATTTAAAAATATAATAGTTTTTCAAAAGAGATTTTGAGGCTTGAGAACACCTGTAAATTATCTTATATTCACAAAGCACAAATATAAATATTTTAAATTTCTATGTCATTCTTTTTAAATTATGTAATACCCCTCGATTCTAGAGTCACGGGTGATCAAGTCCGAGCACAAATCCGAGGGATACCAGACAATTAATATGTAAACAAGCAAGAGTACAAAAGAATTAAAAACAAAATAATACACTGAAAAGAATTCTAAATATAAACATCCTCCAAAATAATAAATTAATATAATTTTAATCTTTCCAATCCGTACAACTTGGGAATTCATCTAGTGGACCCCTAATAATTTCAAATGAACATAAATTACAGAACCAACATCCAAACTATAACATGAAAGGAAGTCCTACGTAGTTGGAAGAGTGAGTGACTGTATCTGCTTCATCACGATCAAGCTCTAAGCCTGGTACTGACGAATACCTGAAAAATAAAAGTGGGTCAGACCCACATGCAAGTTCCATCTTATTACAATCCATACATAAACCCGATATGCAGATACATCCTAGATAGCTCGGCAATAACTAAAAATAGTCCATATAGATATAGATACACTATAGGATGCTCACTAGCCTATAGTGTAGTTCAGCCTGAATAGAAAGTAACATGTAAATCACATATTACGGTATGCATGTGCCCTAGACCTATCAGGGAACATCAGCAATATCCAGTTACCCATCCTTTGCGATATACGCACCCTAACCATGATCCTGAGACTCAAACTCATATCACAGTACCATAAGTATATATATAAATTCTTCCTAATACAGAAAAATAAAACAAACATCCGTTATGTCGTTCAACTGTTTTAGTTGACAGGACATGCATCCATGTAGGATTTAACTGTTTTAGTTAATCCATTCCATATGTATGAATAGGTAGGACTTAGTGTTTTGATCTAATCCATCCCCAATATGCTACCTTCCCATACCGGTGCACATAATGCATATGATTTACAAATGATGCACACTCACTTGAATATCAAATCCATCCAGAGACAAACATAATAGAAATCAGATATAGACAAGATCCTATTATGCATCCAGTATATGAATATAATCATAGAACCTCCTTTTAAATTGCTAGAGTAATGATACACAATTTAAATTATCCACATCTATATAATTGACCAAACAGAATTTATAATAGTTCATCAATTAACATCTATAGCACGATATAATGATAATCAGAAGTATACACTGAGCACATTATATAAAATTCCATAAGTATTCTCATACTAGTTCAGTTCGTTTACTAAAATAAAACTAGCAATTAAAACCTGCATAATCCTTAACAACATGCCCATTAATGTTTAAATTTCATGACATCCCTTTAATCCTCAACTATAAGTCCCGTGCCTGATATAACAACACTCAGAAGTCTACACGGAGTACATTATATGAAACCCCAAAAGTATTCTCATACTAGTCCATTTAGTTCCCTAAAACAAAACTAGCAACTAAAATTTCTACAATTCCTGACAGCATGCAATTTAGTATCTAAAGTTCATGATGTCTATAACCATATCCTAAACCAACCTTTCTAGCCTTTATCAAATTATATATATCATTTATATAACAGCCCATAAGTAATTTCATACCAGTCCGTTTAAGTTGCTAAAACAAACTAGCAATTTAAATCTTCCTCGTTCCTTGACAGCATGCATATTATATGTTTATATTTCATAATGTTCCTCAAGATTAGCACACTAGCATATACTAACTATTTTAAGGTTTTAACAAGTTAATTTTAAACATTTAAAACCTCCCATTAATTTCCAAAAATTACCTTTAAACCCCTAGAACAGTAAAACCTCAGAAAAACACCCCATAGGGGTGCACCATCAAGGGAGCCGACTCTCATATCATCAGAGCCGGCTCTCCAACTCTCTCATCATCGAAGCCGGCTCCCTCCACTAGGGAGTCAGATCTCTCCCTGAGAGCACCTCTTCTCCGCCTCTGTTCTTCTTCTTCGCTTCCAGTGAAGTTCCAAGTCTCTGTCCCAATTGTTTTTAAACTTCTTAGGGTCCAATTTAAATCCAAACAGTCCTAAAAACTCCTCACATTCCATTATGAATTAATTTACAAAAGTTTAAAACCTAATCGAAACAGTTTATGCAAGAGAAACAATTTCAGTTACAAAAACGTAAAACAGTTTTCAGTCTATCTATCAGGCATAATCATCCATTTTAAAATTAAATTAGATTCCTGGAGACTATATAAAATGCACAGAACACAAGTTTACAGGAAAGAGATAGAATGAAACTTGCATTTGGTTTCAGTTTTGAAACCTAAACCACCGTTTTTGAGTTCCGGTAACCCGAAAACTGTTCTCCTCCTCTGATCACTGTTCTCTTCAACTGTTACTTCTTGATTCAACCCACGAGCAACTCTCTTTATTAATGTCTTGAGCCTCTCTGTTTATCTCTCAAGACCCTCTCCGTTTTGCCTCTCAAATCACTACTACGTGAATAGGGTTTTCCAACCCTAGCAGACGTATACTGTTCTATATGTATAGGCTTGTATTGACCTTACTTCTAGTTCCAACCAAAATTATACGTCGGCTACTACAACTTCGTAAAGTAAAACCCTAAACCTAAACTATATACAACACCTACAAATTATACACCAATTAAGTCATACAATCCATTTAAATAAAACATGCAATTAAAAACACCAATTAGTCAACTAATTAAATTAAATTACAATTAAACAATTAAAGTAAAACAAATAAACAATTACAATTAAATAATTAATTTAAAATAAATACACAATTAGTTAATTAAGCAAATAAGCACATAAATCACACAATTAAATAAAAATGCAATAAAATCAAAAATCATTAATTAAAATACCCAGACTATCCTTTCTAAAATTAGGGGTATTACAAATTGCCTTATTATTTTGTAAGCAAAACTAACCACTTAGCTCTCTTTTGCCACATAGTCCATTAAGAAAGAGCACATAAACACAACATCCAGAATGTCGATTACATATAGCCTTTTACATATTAATTGTAATGTAGAAAATGGTCCTTATTAGCAAAACTGGAGAGAAATGATGTACATAAGGAGATTTAGGAACTTAACGCTATAGAGTTGGCTAAGGAATTCACACGTGCAACACCGGAGTTGGGTTATGTATTGGGGACTCATGATTCTACCTTACTGGTTCTCTTTTCTTTGCAATAATTACCAAACCATAAATAGTCATCGTCATTATCTCTCCATCTGCAATTTCTAGTAAGAGTTTTGGAGATCATTCGTAACAGATGGGGTTGATGAGAAAATTTGGATTTGTTTATTTTTATTTTTTATTTTTATAGATTTGAATCGACTAAAATTTGGATTTGAACAAAACTTTAGTTAGAATACAAGTTTTGGAAACTTAATTAATTTTTCTGTTCTGTCAATTAAGAATGTTTTGGAAACTTAATTAATTTTTCATAGGATTTACAAGTTTTTGAATTCCAAATTTCAATTATTCTTGGTGGGTGTTTTAGATAGAATATAAACATGAATTAAAAAAACATTAACTAATAAAATTTGTGCAATAAAGTAATCCTTTGTAAGCATCCCGAGACAATTTTTTTTTTTTTTTTTTGAAAGGTTAATTCGCATCTTGAGAGTCTGAAACACTTGATAACATTATTTCTTATTAAAACTTAGAAGACCTCTTTATTTACTTTGATACATGTCCATGACTCTATTCTATTCAATTTCCTAATAAAGAATGGTCCATACCCTACTACTGTGGTACTAAAGGATAGTTCCAATAATAGATGGAAAGACTTCAAAATTTTCATGCAAAGACAAACTACTATTCCATGAAAAACTAAAAAATTTAAGTAAACTACCATTCCATGTAAAATTAAAAAATTTAAGTAAAGGTATAAATAACATATCAACAATTTCTCCTCCACAACAATCAATCAAAACCTCCACATATGATGATCCCATACTCTCATGCTTTCAACATTTTAAAATAAGAAATACAAATGGCCTCCACATGGGCCGATGTACCAATAAGATAATAAAGTTCAAGATACACCGCAAAATTGGTCACTTAAGGCATGTGACCCCCCTAAGTATGAGTATAAAAAGCATTAAAATTGTGCAATCATAAAAGAATTTTATCACACATAAAGACCATATAACTTACAATATTCACATACACATGTATGCACACTAGTAAAAATGTACATGCAATGCAACATAAATGTATAACTTTTGGATACATAATAAATTTTATTTCCATTTATATAACAATATAGTACTCGTTCATGAATTTTGTAAGAATTAACTCAAATCCCTTTTGGAATGTTTGGTGGAAACAATTATACTCCATACATTGATCGAGTGATATATATAATTTGGTAACAACCACATATATATACATTAAACATACATATAATTAATATGGTGGGATCTATATATTCTTCCTGAATTTATTGAAATGAAGAACACTAACACATCATAGATCAGTACAATAAAAAATGTGATAACTATAGGAGACATGCATTATATAATCATCCAATACTTTATTAAACTTGATATTCTTATCAAAGATAGATGAACAATAAGATATATATATATATATATATATATATATATATATATATATATGATCCATGATATGTACAAGGAAAGTATGTATACTCACAGGAAAAACTGATTTATACACTACACTGCGAATCTAAGCTTGGGTTTTCAGATACGGGACAGCTACAGAGAAAATTTAAAGGTTCAGTTAGAGAGAAAATAAGTTCAAGTATAACATGCAAATTACATACTATATTTTACTTGTGAAAATTAGATTAGTGAAGAAAAAACCTTGGCTTCCCAGAAGTAGATCGACATCAATGTGACATAGGGAAGTGAAGAGGATCCTCAAACGAACTTCCATTTTTTGTGGGGGCGCAACCTCCACTTCTTCGATCACCAGTGGCTTCCCAGCTTCCCATGCCACTGCAGCTACAAAACATAAAACACATTTAATCACACAAAAACACTAATAAATCAACCTATATATAACAAATTTTCATGAGGGAAAAAAAAAAAAAAAAAAAGATTAACAAACACGAGAAATTAGGTGAAAATACAACCAGTCAAAATTAAAACTCTCATTAAAAGAGGGGAAAAAAAATCATAAAAACAAGTTGGGACCATCAACCAACAAATCCTGACGCTTTGTCAGTGTCTCCATTCCTTTCTAGCATAGAAGTCCACGTTACAAGAAAAAATCTTCAAACTGTTAATTTTATTAACTGAACAATTTTCTTCATCTATCGTTTAATTACACACACACATATATATATATATATATAGAGAGAGAGAGAGAGAGAGGGTTTGATGAGTGGTGACCCTACTGTGTTTTTGATTCTTTCAATATGAGGGTTTCAAAGATGCTTTCGTTACAGAGCGATGCTCACAATTTCGTGTCAAAATTAAAACTCTCGGGGAAAAAATCATAAAAACAATCAAAAAAATAAAATAAATCCTTTGTTTTTCCTGTTTTAGTTCTGATCAAAAATCAAATATTCAAATCCACTTCAGAGTTTAGAGTGTCAGAGGAAAAAACAAAAACAAAAAATAAAAAACATTTTTGATTAAGCAATCAAAAAAACCCAAAACACCAAATACATATACACATATATATCTAAACTCTAAATAAATCAAACCCAAAAACATAAAAGGTGGCTGACTATACTAATTTACTCAAGTTTTCACTAAACAAACAAAAGAGTTGAAATGAAACAAGAATATTAAACATACATGAAAACGACATAAAACAAACTATAACACACACCCCCACACACACACGTAAAAAAAAACTGTGCGTTAGACAGACAGACAAACAAACAAACAAAAAAGGAGAAAAGAAGTATCAAATTGATGAATGTTAGTAATAGCAACAAATTACCTTTGCAACGAATATATATATATATATATATAACCCACCAAATTAACAACTGTCTTTGTTAGAAGTATAGGGCGAATCCCATACCATACCAATTTGAGTATTAATTTGATGAATATAACAGGGGATGAAAATACAAATCTCAATTCGTGTCCTTCGAATTTAGGGCTTCGAATGAGAAAGGGAGCTAGGGTTAGGGATTGGAGAAAGGAGCGAATCCTTGTTCAATCTTGACGCCGATCAGCTGTGCCGCTATCTTCTCTGCTCAACGCTGCGCTAACCGTCGATTCAACCCTCAGTGGCTTTGGTAGAAGGGTTAGGCTTGGAGAGAAAGAGGAATGACGGCTTGGACGGTCTGAGAGAAAGGGGGTGGCCGGCTTTCTTTTCATCTCCTTGCTCTGCTTTCTTATCTTCTTTCTTCTCAGGCGGCTTCTCCTCGGCAGCAAGCGGCGGTGGAGCTTCTTCCTGCGTTGCTGCCTCCGAATAGTGATCTAGATCGAGAAAGGGGCGACCAGCTTTTGACATATATGTTTGTGTTCTGTAAGGCCTGTTTACTACACGAATGATTTTACTATGAATTTCTAAAATTGAGAATCAAAAGTAAGTTTAATAAAATATTTTTATTTTTTTGTTTTAAGAAAGTATTTTCTAAATTTATAAAGAGAAGGGAAAGTGAGAAATCAAATTCTCACTTTTTTTTATTTTCTACACTGTTTATGAAAATTACTTTTTATACTATAGCATTTTTTTTTAAAAAACAAAAAAAAAAAAAAAAATTCTAACTAGTCATCAGCCGTATCACCCATCTCCTCCACCTACCACCTCCTCACCATGGTCATTGCCACTGCTACCTCCTCCCACCATAGCCACTGCCACAAACCATCTCTCTCTTCTCTCATACACATCATCAACAATATACCCAAATCAATATAGAAAGAAAAAGAAAAAAAAAAATAAAAAAATAAAAAAACCGAAAGCGCAGACCCTCGTTGTCGACGACCACCGCCACCATCGCCATTTCCGACAACCACCTCCATCATCGCCACTTCCGAGAACTCCTCTCTCTCCTATGTCTCTCTTTCTCTCTCTACAAATACTCGCTTCCCACGAATCTATTGTCGATGGCGAAACCCAACCTCAAAATCGAAGGATTCAACAAAGGAATCTCCGTTGGGTGGCTCGAATTCATCAGAAAAAGAGCAAATTGAGGCTCAAATCAACTTGGAGGAAGATGAGGAAGAGAACGTGGTCGCCGGTGTTAACCAACGCTTTACTGGGCATAGGCACACCAATTTCATCACATGCCCTGTACATTTGGTTTCAATCATAGAATCCTTGAATCAGTCAAGTCTCTCTAGAAAATTTTGCAAAGTGATGATATATACATATATATATATATATATATATATATAGTGAACATGATTCTTCATCATATACAGAGAGTATATAACATTGATTGTAAATTTAGAAAACAAAAGCAAAATTATAATTATTAAACTTGCTTTCTAATTTTTTACATTGAAAATATTGAAAGCATAAAAAATTAGTAAACATAATTCTACTTTATATTTTAGCTTCAGAAATGAAAATAATGATTTTGCTTCTGAGAAAGCAAAAGTAAGAAAATGAAAGAGTTAGTAAACGGGCCATAAGTGTGTTGTATGTGTGTGGTTTCTGTACTTGTAAACAGTATATATATTTTACATATATATATATATATATATATATATATATATATTTATTTATTGACACTAGCGGGAATAAGGGCAACTCCAATGGACTCTCTGAATTCAGTCTTTCCGAATTTGCTACATCAGCATTTTTCCATAACCCCGTCAGCATCTCCCATAGCCACGTCAGCGTTTTAGAATCTCCAAATTTTAACTATCGGATGTACTCCAATGATGCATTTTCGCTTTCCAAAAATATTAATATTTCAAAATTTAAAATAAAATATATTTAATTTTTTTACTTTTTCCTAATGGCTATATTTTTATCGGCTATATTTTTCATGTTATATAAACAATGAAAGGTTTTTTTTTGTTTAAAAAAATAATAATAAATATGTATATAATTATTTTTTAAAATTTTTTTTTTCAAAAAATAGGTTTTTGTGCCAATATAGCCGTTAAGGCATTGTTTGGGTCAGCTAAACAGTGCCTAAAATGGCTATATGTCAGTAGGAATATTTTAAAAAGCAAATTTAAAAAAAAAAAAAAAAACACTTTAGTCAAATTTTTTTTTTAAACTTTTTTTGTCCAAAAAAAGCCTTTAAAGCACTATTTGTGTCAGCCAAACAGTGCCTTAACGGCTCTTTGGTTCAATTATTTTGAGGAAAAAAAAAAAAAACTAAAATCAACCAAAAAATTAATTTTTTCCTTTCTTTTTCAGCCAAACATGGCTTACCAAATAATGTTCTGGGCTAAAACACTGTTTGGCCCAGAATTAAAAAAGAAAAAGAAAACTGATGTCGGCCCGCATGGCAGGCTTGCAAATCGCCAATAGGCTCTTGGTTTTTGGAGACTTAGATTAAGAGCCTCTTTATGGGACCCACTTTTCCCATATGCCATTGGAGCATTGCATCTTCAAATTTTGGGCTTTTTTCGCCAAAAAAACCCACTGATGGAGTTGCTCTAAGACCCGCCAAAAGGTAAGTGAAAATTTTTTACTTTTTACCACGGTTTTAAAATAACCGTGGTAAAAAGACCAGCCCAAATTATATTAAAAATAATTCATTTTCTACCACGGTTATTTTATAACCGTGGTAGAAAAACCCTCCTAAATTACTTATTAACTTTCTACCACGGTTATAAAAATAACCGTGGTAAAATCATATACTTACTACCACGGTTATTTTTAAACCATGGTAAAAGAATATACTTTCTACCACGGTTATTTTAAAACCGGGGTAGAAAGACCCGCCTAAATTACATTAAAAATAATTCACTTTCTACCACGGTTATAAAATAACCGTGGTAAAAGAATATACTTTCTACCACGGTTATTCATTAACCGTGGTAGAAAAGGTCTTCTACCAAGGTTTTAAAATAACCGTGATAAAAAATATACTTTCTACCATGATTATTTTGAAACCGTGGTGGAAAGGGTCTTCTACCACGGTTTAAAAAAAATCGTGGTAAAAAAAGGGTGGTAAAAAACTGTTTTTCTTATAGTGGATAGTTCTCTAGTTATATTTATTTTATGCTTTTATGTCGTTTTTGTGTCTTTGCTACTTTCAGGCTTTTATCCTCAAATCAATTAGAATCGGGAATTTTGGGCTTTCAAATGGAGATCTTAATTCGACTAATTTCCAACCAAAGTCGCAAGCTTTTTGGGCCAAGATCATTGAAATTTCGGGACTTAAATGAAGATTGATAGATTGGACCAAGACACAATTCAAGCCCAAGAGCTAATTGGGCCATTCATAAACGTACGATTGATCATCCATTCACAACTTATTGGCGATGATTGGTCGTCTTCATTGACCCCAGAATTTGAGCCCCAAAACAAAAGTTTTCTATCTCGACGATCGGACATCCCCAAGGGCGACTGATCGCCCATTGTAGCAGAGGAAACCACGGTGCGCGCGCAACATAGGCCTTGGCACTTGACGACCGGTGCTTCCAACTTTAAGAAGCCTAGCTGGCAAGGTTATTAAAAAGTAACTTTGAACCCTAAAATTATGGATCGGGTTGCAAGCCCTTGGTGCATGAATTTGGAGCCTCTTGACCACATGGTTGTGGATATACACTCCTATTTTTCATCATTTTCTATATATCATCTCACATTTTGGGAAGATATTTCTAGAGAGAGAAATATTGGGTTTTAGGGTTTGAAGAACAAGAATGGTGGCTAACTTGGAGATGGTGTTCCCTTCAACTATAGAGGCTTCCACCCTGTCCATAATCAACTAACTTCCTCACTAGGGAGTTGACGTAGTCCTCTCCAAGTAACTACGGTCTAATTTGTGTTCATATATGGAAAATATATGTACGTGTATAACAAGTTGTTTAACCTTGAAATTACATTTGTCATGCTCTTGATGAAATCATTTTCTTATCTTAGAAAGTTTCTTCGTCTTGATTGAACCAAAATCATCCCTATAGCGACAATAAGGATGAAGGTTAAGCAATGGTCTTAATGGCATGTGACGAAAGAACTTTGATAGGTCACGTTTAGGGAAGACGATACGGTGCCAAATTAACTTCAATCTTTTCATATAATTTGTTAAGACTTTTTCAATTGTCATGCACATATGAAGACAAATTTAAAGCCAATCACGGAATAATAAAAAGGCTCAAGGGGTCATATAAAATTGGCAAATTAGAAAAGAAAAAAAAAGAAAAAAAAAAAAACACTCCAAGACTAGAACTTTAGATATAATAATTTGGTCAATGGTTGTGTCGACATAGACAATGTCTTCAGTTTGGGTTCAATGGACAGTTTCATATGTTTATGTTGCAAGTTTTTCTTAATCATCAGCATGTGTATTTTTCTAGGTTAGGGTTTGGTGGAAAAGAGAAAATGCGAGGAGCTACGAACGGAAGGAAACTTTAGGGTTTGCTCATTGGTGGAGAAACAGAGAAGGAATGATCAAAGAAAGTTTGATTGATGCTTATTTTGTTATTTCAATTTAATATAAAAATGGAGGAAGAAATTGAGGCTTATTTTATCATTTCAATTTAATAAAAGAATGGATGGAGCCCATACTAGTTTTGGAGTGTCAATATCACCACCTGTATATGTGTGTGTGTGTGGAGAAGGGAGGATAAGAAAGAGAGCGCATTAATACATGAATAACTAAAGCAATAGAAATAATCATAATTCTTGCATGTAGCATTCAAAAAAAGGGACAAAAGGGGACCAACAAGTAGAAGTCAATTCCCGAACCACAACACCTTGCTGGACTGGCGAATCAAGCAAGGATCACATCTGGTGCGCTCTTGACTTCCCCAAACCACTGCTCTGCTCTGCTCTCAGGTCTTATGGATCATCATCAGCATTCATTTCAGCTCTCAGGTCTTATGGATCATCATCATCATTCATTTCAATGTGATACAGATCACATCTTTCTCACACTCCACCTACCCTATCTATCAACTACCCTCCTCCTTCATTACACTGTCTCTTCATTTATTTACCAAAACAAAAACCTACTACCAACTACTATCACACATTCCTACCCTACCCTCTATATTTTTACTAATTACCCAATAATCTCCTTTTCTTTCCCAAAAAAAAAAAAGAAAAAAAAAAGAGAGAGAGAGAATACCCTTTTGACAATGACACCCTTAGTCATGCAAGGCCACATTTGACAATGATCCTTTCCGAGCCTTTTTGCTTTATTGAGTCTTCATCCAACAACATACATCACATAGTGACATTACATTATGTGTGTTGTCAAATAGAAGCTCAATTAAAGAAACTTTTTTTTATATATATAAAAAAAAAAGGCTCAAAGAGGATCATAGTCCATAATGCATGCCACTTAGTAAATTACCAAAATGCCCTTTGCATATGGCAAGGGAGTTTTTCTTGACAGGGAAAGAGATAGAGGGAGATTTTGGGTAATTGGGGTATGAAACCCTAATCAGCTGGGTGGTGGTGCAGCTGTTGGTTCTGCAGAAGAGCCAACAACACTGGCATTATCGGGGCATGAACCACCACCACAGCCACCGCCGCTAAGAGCAGCGTTTATCTGGTTCACAGTGTTGCATAGGTGGTTGTTGATGGCGGTCACACTCGAGAGATTGAGCTTTGCAGTTGGTACTGTGCTTGCCAAAACTTGCAGTCCTACTGTGAGTAGACAACCAGAGTCAGCCACATTTCCATTTGCTGAAGTTAATGTCTCACTGTTGATGGCAGAGTCATTATTGGTATGTCCGGTGGGGACGATGACAAACCCTAAGGGAAGTAGGGGAATGCAGGATAGATCCTCCCCACTCATGGCTAGCTGGATAGCATCAACGTTGACGGTGGCGTATACCACAAGGCTGCCGGAGTCATCGGTGCAGCTTTCCTGCAGGATGAGCTCTACATTCTGGGATGAGTTGCTTGCTACCTGCATCCAAACATTAATGTATATGTATATATAAATATATGTCAATGTGTATTCTCAAATTTTATAGCCACTGAGCTAAAGTTTGACGGAAATTGAGAAGAAACTCTTTGATTCTGCTTAATTTACTATATTGATAAGCAAAATAAATAAATAAATAAATTTATGGAGTTTTATGAATTTGTTATCATGCACATGCTTGAAATTTTTTGATGACAGATTCTTTTAATCCAATGAAAACTCTCCATACTCATTAGTCTAATAAATATTTTAACAAAAAACTTAGACATGAGTTTTGAACTTTTGATTAGATGGACAACCAAATAAACCATAAACCTAGAGTATCTAGACGAAACTTATTTTCTCTTTTAATATGCACTGCTTTTGTCCATGCTTAATTTCTCATACATATATACATATTCATATGTATATGTTGCTCTAAAATAAGAATGTTTAGTCTGGTAGAAAAAATATACTTACATTGACACGAAGAAGAGAAATGCAGTTGCCAGGATGAGAGCCATTGGCGATATGAGCCACCTCATGCAACGAGTTTCCATTAGAGAGAACCTCCAACTGAGCTCTGCGACGCTCGTCTCTCAAGAGATCAAAGAGCTGGTATTGAGAATATGGAAGCCAAGTAGTGGAGACAGCGCTTAGGATTAAGCCATTAGGCTGGCCAGGCTCAAGGATCTTCCTTGTGGTAATTCTAACAGTGTCTTCAGCATTGTCAGAAAGTGCTGTCCATGACTGCCCACTCGAAGTGCTTATGTTCACACTGAATGTTCTTATCATTCTCTGCGCCAGATTCATCAAGTTCTTTCGTGCTTCCGGAGATGGTATTACTGTCATTAATTAATTAATACCCAATTTTTATTATTAATACATAAAATATACAAATAGTTTGGATATCGATGAAAAATTAGAAGGGAGAAATAAGCACCTCCAAGTTCGGATATATTTCTGGCCATAAGGCTTGCAAATCTCTCACATTGTCGCCCTAAGACTGCTAACCAACGTTGTGCTCCAAACGCGATTCCGGTGTCAACAAACTGACTGAATATCCGATGGATTGGCTGTTCCTCTACCTCTGCATGTTCTACCCATGTAACCTGTATTTAATTACAATGCTAATAGAGTCAATGCCAGGATAATGTTTAGATGATCACCATATATTTTAACACATAATAATTAATATGCTCCAATTTTTATGATATATGCACCCATACAACAAACAAAAAAAAAATCTATGATGAGGATGCTTTCACATTATTTTGTGTTATGGTTGAGAGTAATCATGGTTGTGGATGGCTTTATTTATATAGAGAGAGAGGTATGCGGCATAATGTGGTGTTCCACAAGTTTAACAAATGAAAGAGAATAGATAATTAACTTCCGAAAATGAAAAATAATAACAAATAGATAAATGATCCAAAACCTAAAAAATTAGAGCATGAATAATCATAAAATTGGATTAATTCAAAGACAATTACCCTTGAGTAACCATTGGGCATATCTTGAACGATGCAGCCCGAGGGCCGTCTGTTGTATCTTGGAAAGGAAGGCTGCAAATTTTCATGGAAGCTATCCAGTGGAAAATCAACAATCACCCAACTTCCTTCCTCCACATTTTGTTGGCAATAACGAAGAAAATGAGCCTCCCTAGTCAGCACCAAAGGTGAAAGAACTTGTAATTCTGCATACATCTGCACCCAAAAAAACAAAGGCACCATAAATAAACTGAGAAGAAATCAAATTTCTAAGACTTCCAATTTTATTGAGATATATTTATATATATATATAGTTATATCTATCGATGAAATACTCACCAGATGAAGTGAACCACTTGCATGTCCAGAAACTCCTGAAGTTATAATCTGAAGTGTTTTTGCTCTGGAAATGATTGAAGGGAATAGTTCCATCCATTTGTTCTGAAATAGGAAAAAAGAAATTAGAATTTCAACATAAGTACTAAGGGACAAACATTCTTCTACATAAAATAAAACTCAATCAAACAGCAATTCTTTCAATTAAAAGAGCTTCAAGCAATTGTAAACAAATTTTCCAATTAATTAAACAAGAGGGTGTCTTACTGCATCTAGAAATGCATCAACCAGAGTAATGCTGTTCATTATAACAACAGCGCTGTGACGGGTAGCTTCCGTCCTGAACTGATCATCTGAATGCTGCTTGAGGCCCATTGGCCAGGGAAACATCCTCGCGTGCTCTTCGACGTTTAGCACTTCCTTCCCATTGTCATTGCTGCGGAGCCAAAGAGGCTCGCCTGCCTGGCACATCTTCACCAGTTCATCCATTGATGTCACTGCAAGCTCCAATGCTAGAGATTTTTCCTCTTCCATGATCAGAACTGCCCCAGGGAAGTGGGGATTTTCAGACATCAAAGACATTGGGATAATATCGGAGCAATTAGACATAGGCTCCTGGTACTGCCTCGGATAGATACTCATATCCAAATCTAAGGAAGGCGGAAGAAGAGGAGGAGCCGGTCCCATTGTTTGGAATGGCCGGCCACCGTATCTTGAAGCAAGTCCGCAAACACGTTCAAACTGTAAAACAATACTATTATCAGTACCCGAGTAGGGACAGAGTAAGTATGTGAGTTATTTTGTCACGAATACAAATATTAGTAAAAAGTATAAACTGCCAATAACATTTCATCTAAAGAAATTGCTATTTGTTTAAAAGTTTATAAATCAGTTTGTGTTTTCCAATGCCATGGATAGAAGAAGGAATGGAGCATTTATTCCTATCTATAAGGGTCCAAACAATCCATGATCAATAATGGCGCATTGTGGTTTAATTAACTTGGGAAAATGTATCATAAAGTATAACTGGATTTAATTAATTACTATTACCATAGGAAATAATGAACATTTATTTTTTAATTACCAAAAAAAATAATGAACATTTTTTTCAGTGGGATACTACATAAGTAGGTACTCTGCCATATTCAATATTTTTCTGTCCTTTGCAGCATTATATAGAAATGATCATGTGTAATGCAATATGCCAATTGACACTAGCTACCTCTTCTTTGAGCCTGGCATTTTCGAGGCGAAGTTGCTGTTCATCAAAGGCCATATCTGCGAGTATGGCCGAACCACCACAATTAGGGCATATGATGTTCCTCAGTGCCGCTTGCAACCGATAATTTTCATTTCTTAGGTTCTCATTCTCTGCTCTAAGAATCACATTGTCTGAACGGTCTTGTTGTGCCTGTCATTAAGTTCTCCAAGAAACAATTTTCAGTACAAAGAAATTAAATTCGATAAGTGTTAATTAATTATCGTACGCACCATGGTGCATTATATGCGCAATAAAAACCCAACAAATGGACTGTTTGATAAAGTATTTAGCTTCATAACCCTAACCCTAAAAGGGCATTGCATTTAAGTGGCGCTTCATTGCAACCCCACTGCGTATATTAATGGCATCACCGAGCGTGAAAGCCACCCCGGAGTTAATGAGATTCTTCTCATTCTACAGTACGCATGATGGTGGCGTACGCTCACAGTCACAACCTATTCAGTTTAGCCTTAAAACGTTAGTGTATGTAATAAACACACTCTCATCGGGAACTGTGCTTGGGTTGTGGGCAACTGTACTTGACAGCTGGCCCATTTTAGGGTTACCATGAAAGTGAAAGCATAGAGAGAGAAAGAGAGTTGTAATGAATGAATGAATGAATGGAGGAGTGAGTGAGTGCTAACGTGCGCACCTTCATCTGGGTTCGGCGATTCTGGAACCAGAACTTGACTTGGCGTGGCTTCAGGCCTAGATCTTGGCTCAGTTTTAGGCGTTGCTTGTCATCCGGGTGTGGACATTCCTTAAACAAACTGTAAAATTAAATGGTTAGAGTAAATGTATAGAGATATTTATGCTCAATGGATATCTTAAAGTTTATATATATATATATACACACACACACATACATATGTGACAATAATGAACTTTATACATGATTTAAATTGAATTTTCGAGAGTGGATATAACAAGTAATGAAATTTATGGATAATTTAAATTTTAACTTTCAGAAAAAGGAGCTAGAGAGAGATTTTTCATCATGGAGAGAGAGATTAATGGGCAATGAACTTTATGCAAGTTTTAGATAGGAACGAATTTTCATATAGGGAGAGGATTGTTTTTTTTTTTTTTTTTTTTGTGGGTGAATAATGGGTTTTGTTAAAAATATATAAATTAAAATTAAGTGGTAATGAACTCACTGCATTAGCTAGAAACTTTTAGAGAGAGAAAATAAGGAGCATACGATTCCATTTCTTGGATCTGGCGAGCAGTGTGCCTGTGGTAGCGTTTCTTCTTGGGCGGTTGCAGCTGTTGCTCGCTGTCTTGCTCATTCCCTGACACTCCTCCTTCTATGTGTTCACTTCCTGAACCACTTTCCTTCGATGTGTTCGTTTCTTCTTTCTATAGATTACAAACAAATATATATATATATATATATATCAGCCAATATACATACATATAGAGACCGTGTGTGAATTTGTTGGATTTAGGAGGAAAAAAACTTACAGGAATGGCAGGAGGGAAAGTGTGGAAGCTGGGCATATTAGCCGCCATGAAGTTGAAGTTAGGGTTTTGTATCTGTGACGAAAAGAGGGAGTCTGAAGATACAACATTTCCACCCATAGATGACAGCACTTGACAATCTCCATACATGATTCTTCCAATTTTCTTTTTACTTCTGATCAACCACACACAAAAAAAAAATATCAAAAACTTTTTGCTTGCTGTTAGGTCATATATATATAAATATATATATATAGTGTGTGTGTTAAAAAAGACAATGAAATTTTGAAGGGTTAAATCTATGACCCACTCACATATATACAATGAAAGCCCTACATAACAATGAAAAATTCTAGGAAAAATAGTTCCAAGAACATTAATTTTCTAGTAAAAACCTATTTAAAATAATAAATAAATAAATAAATAAGCTAAAAATCAGAAGGGTTTGGATTTATAGATGAGTTTTTTTTTTCTGTTTTTGAAGCTGAAAATAAACTTCACCTGCAAGGTAAAACATTAACATTCAAGGAGTGTTGAGCCCCAAAACCACCATGAATGTTTGAAAGAAGAGATAAATAGGAACCAGAAAACGGAGCAGAAAGAGATTAAATGAGATTCGAGAGAGGTTGGAGAGAGAGACGAGTGAGAGTAAATACCAGTGTCGGTTGTTCTGGAAATGTAGAATACTTAGCGCTTTCTCTCTCTCTTCACTAGCTGGACCGCCACACCCAGTCTCTCTCTCTCTAGAAACTATTTCTTTCTCTCTCTACAACTTCACACAGTACTCTTCTCTGTGTGTTGTTGTGTGTTAGTAGTGGGGAGAGTATTAATTTACAGTGGATGGGGTAAATGGGAGCTTTAACTGCGCTGGAGAGAAACTGATCAAAGCCCATTAATCCGTCTCCTATTTTAGTGCACGTGGCAGTTTTTTAATGGGCCAGAGAGCGTTTCACGTCAAGTGTGAGCAAAGTCAAACCTTTCTTTCTTAAGTCTTGTTTACTTTTAGTTCTCAAAGACGCTTCCTCACTCTCATTTGAAGCGCGTGCACAATCACCACTCCCTCTAGCTTTGCCTAGAATGTTTGTACAGAAGTAGTTTTTTTTTTTTTTTTTGGAGGGAGGATTGGAACAGAGACATATCATTAGTTGGAAAGCTGGACGTTTTACTTATTAGGTCAGTAAGTGATGTCCGTTTTATAAAAGATGATGTATGACTTGTGATTCGTTAAAATAAATCTCAAATGAAGATAATTTGTTAGAGAATATGCAAAGTTGTGGCCTGAATTTTGTTTCGACTTAAAATTATGACTTGGATTTTGCCGATTTTTTTTTTTTTTTTTTGTGGGTCTCACATTCGGGCTGTAAACTATATTGTAACCTATTAATATAAAAGAGAATACCAAAAGCCTTTTGTTTTCCACAATTGAACCAAAACTATATACTAGTTTATAGTGCTACTAATTAACCAAACTTTTTATATATGAATAACTTGCACACCACTCGAAAAATTTATAAATTTGTAAGTTATTATTAACCTTTCCGTTCTCTCTCATTTTCTGATATTTTTTCATAAATATATATAAGTTTGTCTCATCGTATTGCATTTCAAGCTTCTTCTATGCTTACTTGCATTCACAATTTTATCATGTGTATTAAAGTGACCTATATATTATATATATCATTACAATTCATATGTATGGCTTTCCATCCAAGGTAGCCTTGACATTTTTCCCTTTTAATTTTTCTCTTTAGCAGCATATTACAACATTTTAAAAACTCATCCACGTATATTTATTGAAGTATTTTCAGTTCTTATTTTACAAAATAAATAAATAAACAAATAAAAATTGGCGCGTGAGTACAAAACACTAAAAAGTCAAGTGAGAATTACACTCCTCTAGGCTCTAAGTTTCTACAGTACTTGACCATTTTACGGAGATGGTAAATTCATGGGTCTGAAATTCTGACGTTTTAAAGCGTAAAATGCGAGTCAAAGAGTGAGTTTATATTTAAGAGCGGAAATTTAGAACAAAAAGTCGTGAGTTTTGGGTCAAAATGATCTCAACCCTCTATTCTAATGGACTAATTTTGTGAGGACCCCACTTCAAGTCTTCCCTTCTGTCTCCCACCTATCTGCAGATCACAAGGCAAGAAAACCCACCATCATGGCCTCGTCTTTAATGTGCTTTTGACAACTTTTGACTCTCTCTCTCTAAGTATGGCCAAGCCCTCCCAATAAATCCAAGGGTGTCAATTTCACTTGGGACCCTCTTGCTCCACCAATTTTGAAAATTAGGGTTTCAAATATATATATCATTGATTGTTCAACAATTATTTATTTATTATTTTTTTTTTTTCATCTTCGTTTGCATTGTGAGGTAGGAAATATAGACACTTCATCATAAGTTCGTAACATTGTGAAATACATATAGATACATGACATATGGTTAATTATCAATATATTTGTAGACAAACTGTTTACCTTAGAATCCCTCAAAGTGGCATCTCACTGATGATTCAGGCCTCCTCAGAAAGAGGCCTTCTTCAACCTTCGGTCGGGCCACATTTCAGGACAAGATAGAGTGAATTTTTCTTTCATATATATTTTTTTTTAACAATGAGGCTTAATTAATTCAATTTGTTGTGTCATCATAAATTAAAAATAAAAAAAAATTAGAACATGCCACTTTGATAGACCATGCTGACTCAGTCAATTGTATATATATATAAAAAAAAAACAAAAAAACAAAATAATGTGCTAGATGAGTTGGTCAAAAGATCTTAAATTTTTTGTCTTACAGATCTTCAATATTAAATATTACAATTTTAAATGTATAATGAAGAATGTGAGAGCAGAGCATTTAAAACTAGACATGGAATTAGGATGAGAAATGAAGGTGAATATTGGTTTCCCATTTCGTGACAAACATTGAAGTTCAGGTACCAGCAGTTTGATGGAACAATTCAATGTGTGGGGATGTAGCATTGCAAGTCAATGACCTAATGAAATATAACTCCTCTGCAATTAGCTAGCATGTATAAAGTTGATGCCTTCTCACACACATAACACACACCACATAAATATAAATGTTTTGTGATATCAAAATTGGATTACACTTTTTCATTGAATTATGTAAATGGCGGATTTTAAGTAGGTGAAGAATCATAGCTCATACATAAATCGATGAATTAAAACTATAGGATTAAAGATTTGCAGAATGTTAGTTAGGAAACAGAAGTTATGAATATTGTTCAACAATATGAAGAAAGAACAATTTTAAATTCATAAAGATAAAAAAAAAATTACAGAGTAAATTATGTAGGTAAGCCAAAAATTAATGGAATTTGTTAAAACCTCGAGCAAAAATTACCAACTATTCATAATTAGAAGAACGTAATTCTAAATTGGGCCATAAACGATAGAATTTGGCTGAAAAGTGCTTTACAATTCTTATGCGAGTTGGATCGTTTTCAATCAGAATAGGGTATTGTCGAGTCAAAATGGGTTCGTCAAAATTGTGTCAACCCGTCTCTTTGACCTTCTGGCGGTCCAAACGGGTCATATAAGCTTTGGCAATTAATTCTACATCAGCTCATGTTGTGAACTAATTAACATATATTATGACTTATGCTCCGTTTGGTAGGAATAAAGAAAATTGGATGGAAGGGAGAAAAGAAGTTATGAATGAGATATCTCTAGGGAAAAGATTATGTTCTTCCCTCTTTTTTATTTGGTTGGCGTCTTCCGCTCATATTTGGAGGGATAAAAATTTGTGAAGTAGGAAGGATGATCGACTCATCCATAGTCTTTTCTCTTCTGCTCTTGTATCCTCTCTACTAAACGAATTAAAATTGTTTCTTCTTTTCTATCTTCCCTTCACTCCTCATCCTTCCATCCAACTAAAAGGAACATTAAAGAAATTTTTTTTTTTTTTATTATTATTATTTTAGAGAAAAAAGAAATTTACAAGATGGGTTGCAAATAAAATAAATAAATTGTATGAATTAGGCTAGAAAAAAAAAAAAAAATCAAGGTACAAAATCCGAAGGCAAAACTAGAGTCCAATTCATGATTCAATATTGAGATTATAGTGTGAGATTGTGAGATATATATATATGTGCGTGTGTGTGTGTGTGTGTGTGTGTGTGTGTGAAAAATATATATTTTATATTGGCTAATTTCATTGTCAAAACAAGTCCGATCGAGTTGTAATATTTTGATTCAAAATTTCAAGATTGAAGATCGGATTTGAATTTGAAGAAATTCAAGTGTTCATACTTTAATACAATCCGGAATGATAAGAACAATGCTTTAGAGAGGTATGTAAGTGTGTGACTTAGGAAGTTTTAAGTTTTTAGAAAGTTTACATTCCGGAATGATAAGAACAATACTTTAGAGAGGTATGTGAGTGTGTGACTTAGGAAGTTTTAAGTTTTTAGAAAGTTTACATTCTGCCTATTTCAAACTGGTAGCCAAACCAAGGAATAGGTTTAGCTTTTGCAGGTTAGTAATTTTTCTATTCTGTCCATTGGAACCAAGCCAAATCCTCTACCAGTAGCCAACTGCTAAATTGTTTAGGTAACTTCAATTTCCTAATCTGTTTTGATTCCTTTTTGGTCCAGACTTCCTTCCAAAATCCTATGCATGAAATTGACTTGTTTTCCAAGTATAATTAGGTTTTCAAAAGTCTAGAAAAACATGTTTTCTCAATTAGGTTTTCACGACTTTTTGGATACAAAAATTCATTATTTTGAAAAAGCCTTTTGAGAGATATTTTTCAAAAAATCAAATCTAATTTCTCTGTTTTTATTTTTTAGAGCACACACATAAACACAAGAGTGATTTAGTAGTGTTATTCTCTATCTCATCAAAATTGGAGCATGATTGAAGATTCAGAAATTCCGAAAAGCAAAATTCATTCATTTTTCATCAAATTCAAATCTTGAAGAAAATGGGTGAAACAATCACACTTTGAAGGGGTCAAAGCATTCGGAGAGTGTTGTTTAATCTACCTGCAACTCTTCTGCAGAAATCAAAAATAAGCCTGAGGCCGAGAGCTGTTGGACGGTGGAGTCGCAAAGTCAGGGATTGTCAACGATTGGTTTTTGGTAGAACGATAAGGTATGAGCATGAGTCAAAATTAAGTGTATTTTGCTTCAAATATAGTGGATCATTTTGTTCTGGACTGCACAGTCCATAAGGTTTTTCTCACAACAATGAGTCTATTATACCAATTAGGTTTCCTCGCTAAAAATCATGTTGTCATCTCTCAAACTTTATTTACTTTACTTGTACTTTATTTTGCTTTGTGAGATTAATTTATTTTTATTTCGGTAAATTTAATTTAAGCAAAAATTAGATAAAAGAGCAAGTAAAACTTATTTATCACCCATATAATTATTTTTAATATAAATTTCCACATCCTATTCCGCTACACAACTCACATAAAGTATTTTCCAACCATTTTGAATCGATTTCATCAATTTGTTTCATTATTTCTATCTAAAGTAGTGCCCTCATAAAATTCATGAATATATATATATATATATATATATATATATTTTGACTTTTGAGTAATATATATATATATATATATATATATATTCTATTATTTTGACTTTTGAGTAATAGTGATATTAGTTGAGTC